TCCTAGCACCTGTCGCTTACTGATTGTTTGGAATTATAAATATGAGCGTAGTTTGTCTGTTAATATCACATGCACTTTTTTTGTTTGTTGTTTTTTTAGTTACTCAGACGCAGGCAGTGTTCCTGCAAATATTTCAGCGTGAAAGACACTCGCGATGACGGAATGTATCATTTGCACATGCTTTTGAGTCTTACAATTTTAAACATTCAAGTGCTCAATTCAGTACTTGCGCGCGACTACAGAATGAAGTTGTTGCGCCTTATTGCACATAAACGGCCAAATACATACAAAATTTTCGCTTGACTACAGAATGAAGTTGTGTTGCGTCTTATTGCGCGTAAACAGCCAAGTACATACATAATTATGTCAAAATGCCGTCTTGATGAGTATTCACATAAACAGTCGATTTATACTAAACATTGTCAGTATATAGGCTATTAAGTGAATGTAAACAGTTGCAAAACAAAACTTATGTGTAACAGTTTGATCCGTGCATGAGGTCTTAAAGAGACAGCAACCTAAATAAACCTGCTGCTGTCAGTCATTAATGTTTATTTATACATTAAAGACTAACCAGTATTATTTTAAAGTTAAATAGATTATTCTGTTTCTGTGGTATTTCTGTGCCTGGATATTACTGTAAAACTTGGAAAAACTTAAAGCACAGTTCATTTTAGTTGTATCTTGTTATTGTATTTGTTTGTGCCATTACTTGTCATTATCTATTCTTATTTTATTACTGACTGTTTACTTGTCTTTTTTTTTAGTTAAAATAAATTCAATTCAGAGTTTGAAATCAAAGTTTTTTTTTTTTAAGTATCTTCCTCACAATATAAATATGAATCAACAACATTGTAAAACACAAATACACTGGGTGATGAAACATTTAGGTTGGTTGACTGTAGTTTAAAAATGTCTTAAAAAATACCCTAACTCGCTCCTCAAATAAAAAAAAAATCCCTATAAGAGCCCCCCACCCAGGCAATGAAACACAAAATAATTATTAGAAAGCATTTTCGGTTTTGGTTTTCAGCCAAGTGCATCCAGAATTTTCGGTTTCTGTTTCAGCCCGGAATTTTCATTTTCGGTGCATCCCTAGCGAGCGTGCTAGTGCGTGCCAGGGCCAGTCGCGTTTCCATTGTCACTTCTATCGATACTTCGGTCTTTCATAATTTAGCCCCGGGACCGATTAAATACCGGGTTTCGGTACCCATCCCTACTTCTGGGGCTTGATCGTGCCTCATGGGGGCTTCCTCAGGGCCAGTGGCCAGGGATTTTCGGCACACTGAATACCGTGGGTTAAAGTGGGCCAACTGGGGCCAGAGGAGTGGTCATGAACAAAGGCGAAATTTATCGGAGACGGTCGGCACCGCTGCTCACTTCTCATGTTTTCGTCTGTCTGTCTGTCCATTTGTGTCATCCTTCAGTCATTGTCTCTCTGTTTGTCCTTTAGATCTTTCTTGGAACAAGTTTTGTATCTTGGGGCACAGCTGTAGACTGAGTATTAAATGTTGTCTTTTCAACTTAAGGCTGAAACTGGGCCATGTGTTGGAGCTGGTGGCCCTGCTTTAGCCTGGAAATGTCTGGTACAGCTGTCCTGAGTGTTTTATACATGCCATGTGGTGCATGACCTTGTCAATGAATGAAATGAGATGAACAACGTGAATTATTAACTGCTCAAGATGTAGTGGGTGTTATGCCATAAATATATGTGTGAATTACAGTTTCTGCAAGCCTTTGAAGGATGGTTTGTAACTGCAGTGTTATTTCCAAGGATCCTTGTCTGACACTGACATTGGTCGTAAGAAATGTTCTCTCTCTCCCATAGGGGCATCTGTCTGAGGGACTGGTCACTAAATGGTATCGTTCTCCTCGTCTGCTCCTTTCCCCAAATAACTACACCAAAGCCATTGATATGTGGGCTGCTGGGTGCATCTTTGCTGAAATGCTGACTGGAAAAACACTCTTTGCAGGTACTAAAAAGTGTGTGTGTGTTTGTCTAAATAAATCCTATGATCTTGTATTATATCAGTTTGTCTACTTTTATTCTGACATTTTAGTTGTTCATTTCTTTGTGACGCTATCTTATCTTGCACACACAATGATCAGGTAGTTGAAGGTCATTTCCTGTGGTCTTGGTGTATTATAATAAACTAGGACAAGGTGTTTTTTTCTTCCCTTTTGTAGTAGTTAAAGAGAGAAGCTCTTTCTGTGAACTCAAAACTTCGGAAACTAGGGCAGAACTGTTGATTTTCATGCATTTTAGTGGATGCAAGTTTTGGCACAGTTGGTTTACAGGATTGCCACTGCCATGGAAATATCTGAATTTTAATTGTGAGTTCAGTCTCTATACATTTTATTTTTACAAGTGCATATCCTGTAATCCTAGACAAATGGGAGAGTCATGGAAATTCATTATTCAAATTGGTGTTGGGACCCTGAGACTAATATTAACCATTGGTCTTGCCAAACTCAAACATGCACACTAACTAGACCAGTTTCTTTAAGTATGCAAATGTCTCTTGTGCCAAATATTGACTGGAGTTGCCTTGACAGTTTTTCTGAATCAAACATTTGTATGTGTGCACAGGAGCTCACGAGCTGGAACAGATGCAGCTGATACTGGAATCCATTCCGGTAGTCCACGAGGAAGACAGACTGGAGCTCCAAAGTGTAATTCCTGTCTTTATCAAGAACGACATGTCAGAACCACACTCGCCACTCGCCAAGTTACTGCCTGGTGTCAGCCCTGAGGGTTAGTTACACAAGCAGTTTTGCAGAATTCATGCAATTCATAGAAACTTCATTTCATAGATGCTTAAATTCATGGAAATGTGCATACCATTCTCTTTTGCTCGCTCACTCCCTTCCCTTTACTCAGCAGCAATTCATAGGATTCTGAGATTTTAGAAAATGATCTCAGTTTTGCTACTTTTTGTACTAAACCAAAGTTGGTAAAGGAAACACAAATGGCAGTCTAAATCTCATGTATTATTGGTCATTTGTTCACTGTAGCCTTGGATTTCCTGGAGAAGATCTTGACGTTTAACCCCATGGACCGGCTCACTGCGGAAGAGGCTCTTGCACACCCATACATGAGTGATTACTCCTTCCCTCTAGATGAACCAGTGTCCTTGCACCCCTTCCACATCGAGGATGAGGTGGATGACATCTTGCTCATGGATGAGAGTCACAGTCACATCTACAACTGGGACAGGTGAGTTTCACCCAATGGAAAAATACCAGTATTTGGCTCCTCATTCTATGAGGTCATGAGTTTTAGAGCATAGAGGGTGTAAAGAAAGTAAGTTCTCCTGGCTGCCATCTTGCCGATGGTATAATATTTTTTTTTTTCCTTCACACTGTAGGTACCATGAAAGTCAGTTCTCTGATCAAGACTGGCACCTGCACAGCACCCATGAACTGGAAGATGTGCAGCGTGATCCTCGAGCTATGTCAGATGTCACGGACGAGGAGGAGGTCCAGATCGATCCACGGAAATACATGGATGGGGAGTGCGAGAAGTTCCTAGAAGATCCATCGTTCGACCTCCCCCTAGAGCACTCGTGGCAACAGGAAGATCACCATGAGAACAAATACTGCGACCAGGAGTGCAGCTACACTTGCAACTACAAAGCTGTGTCCCCATCCTACCTGGACAATCTGATCTGGAGGGACAGTGAGGTGAACCACTACTATGAGCCCAAACTCATCATTGACCTCTCCAACTGGAAAGAGCAGCAAAGCAAAGAGAAGAACGACAAAAAAGGCAAGACCAAATGTGAGAAGAATGGACTGGTCAAGGCCCAGATCGCCCTGCAGAACCACTGCGTGGCCGAGAAGGATCGCGAACAGGAAAAACATCAGAACCACAGCCAGGGCTTCGACTTTGACTCGTTTATCGCCAGCACCATCAAAATGAGCCTTCAGCCAGAATCTGGCGAAGTTGACCTCCTGAATGAGTTGAACACCTCCGTTTCCCAGCTGGACACCCATGCTCCTTGCGGCTCCATGTCCAAGTCCATCAGTCAGGAAAAAGAAGAGAAGTGTCTAGTAAACCTGGCGCAGCTCGGTGTCCGAGCACCCTGTCCTTGGGAGAGTTTCACGGACAGCGACGTTACCGAGAGCAGCCTAATCGACGAGGCTTGCTGGGACGTCCGCAAAGACGAGCAGCTCCAGAAGGAGAACAACAGCTGCCAGAGCAGTTACTTAGACCGCCTCTTCAACAAGCGTGAGGAGGTAGAGTCTGAGATCCCCGAACCTGTCGAGGAGTCCACACCGGAGGATGACTTCATATCCTGCGGTGGCGAGATTGTCATTAACATGCAGCTGGAGTCTTTGGCCATTCCGGGGTTCGAGGGAGCAGGTGACATTCCTCTGAAGTCCATCCAGGCCACGTTAACGCCCTCTGCTGTTAAACTCTCCCCACAAATCGCCCATAAAACCTACAGCAGCATTTTTAAGCATTTAAATTAAAAAATCCACCCTGTTCAAGCAGAGTCCATCTTATTTTTTTATAGAGTTATGTATTTCAGTACTTGAATCTTTTTTTTTTTCTTTTTTTTTAATACATATGGTTACTTTTAAGGAAACTTTTTTCATTTTTTTTTTTTTTTATATCTGTGGATTAAATGTAAATTAATTAATTACGTAAATTCATCCAAAGTGCTGGACTGTGTTCCTACACATGAAATATGTTTTTGCCCTCGGATTTTCAGTTTCAACTCTGATCTTATATATATATATAAAAAAAAAACTAACGCCATGACATTTGCACAGTGTACTGTAGATTCAGAAACATTAGGGAAAGACAGAGGAACAACTGTTAAGTAGCGAAATAGATGGTTTATTCATTTGTAAGCAAAGGAATAGAGATAAAGAGGGCGGAATAATGCACTATCCGTGTGGGAGCCGCCGCCATTGACATCATAATGTGACCTTCTGACTGACAGCCAATAGGACTGACACAAGCAGTGCGTCTTGGCCTTTCTCTTCCTGTTGTTTTTTAATTAAGGCTAATGTATTTATTTGACTTTTTTCACCTCATTTCAATTTAAAAGCGAAGTCTTTTGTCATTTTGTTCATACTGTAAACTTCCTCAAACGTGATGCCAGCCCAGCAAGCATTAACTGTTGGTTTGCGATACGTTAACTGTAGGTAAAGGCGTTATCTACCTCAAGGTAACAGCAGAAGGTTCTGTCTCCCAACTGTAGTGCTTTAAAGAAACACTTGCCCTTTCAACGATGTAGTGCACAGCGATTTCTATTTTTAATTTTGCATTTGCCATAGTGAAGTGTTAAGATCATTATTTATTTTTAGCAGATGTGAGATATTTATTTTAAGAAACGTTGTAATTTTTCAGTGTGAGGCATTGGACTTCCATTCTGGTCTGTTTTGGCGCTCTGTGTTTAGCTGTGGATGATCGCTTATCCATTTGAGTTGTACAGAAATTCATGATGTTCTCCCAAGTTCAACCATTTGTTTTCATAAGGATTCACTAAAGGATTTTCTTTTTTTCCTTTTTTTTTTTATAACTTATAGGTGCTTTGTATGAGTGGAATACTGCTTTATGCGCCTAAAAGTCTTAATTTTTTTTCTTTCGTATATATATGTGTATATATATATACATATACATATTGTTAAAAAATTGTGCATGGAAGAAAACCAGTGGAAAGGTACATTTAAAATGAAGTTAATGGTGAAGTATATTGTAAGTCATTAATTTTATTTTAATTGTATGTTTTTATGAAAAAGTTATTTTTCCCCAAGCGAGCATGATTGAATTAGTTTCAGGTATAGCATGTAGAACACTTAAAATTATTTTAATTTTTTTTATTATTGTTTTTTGTTGTTGTTAATTTTGCCTTTAAATGCTGGTTTCATTCTGTTATCATTGGTTCCACTGTAAAATAACATCAATAAAATGGCCAGCAAGTGTATCACTGTGACCTGTCTTTTTTTTGAGTGGGAAACTACACATGAGCAAAATTATGTAAATGTCTTGAAGTTCAGAAAATGGGGTTTCCCTCTGTTAGTTCACACCTGTAGAGCTAACCAGTCATTACATTATTTGCTGCAGGTTTGTGGAATGTTTCATGAGTTAATTCTAGCACCAATAACATCATCACATGTGATCTTGAAGATATATCCCCCAAAGTGTTATCATATACATAAGGACGTGGAGGAAAGAGGAAACAATTCTAGGTCAGAAATATTGTTCAAATGCAAACTATTGTGGACCTGGGGTCGTATTCCAGAAACTTCCTCTCTTAGGTCTTAATTTTCGTAGCATGTTCTTAACACAACATGCTACGAAAGATGCTGTGAAGCTGAACTTAAACTTTTTGAAGTCTGATAAATTGTTTAGAGTAGACAAGGACTATTTAAAATGAATGAGTGAAGACAAATTTGAAGGGGATTCAAATGGTGAAAGAACTTGAACATCTTCCTCCAACTAAACCGATTTCTTTTAATTAAATGAGATTGCAAACAAATTTCCACATATATTTTACAGACAATATCACAGGATCACATTTACTGTTCCGTTAATAAAGAGGCCTGATGCAAATGATATGACAGATTATCATTTGTATGATTTCAGAGTTGCTCTTAAAAGTGTTTGTTGACCATCAGAGCTGGGTAGATTACTTATGAATTGTAATCAGTTAATGATTATGAATTACATGACGAAATTTGTATTCCGTAATATAATCTCTAGAGAGATTACACATTTTTGGTAATGTATTATTTAACCGTTATTTAATGTCACATATATTGAAGTGGGATATAAGTGCAATGTATGGACGGTTAATACATTTTAAAATAACACTGATATACCTTGCTGCTAGTGTTTGTTGACAGTAACACTGAATAAAACAAAATCATCTTATAATTTTAAAACATATTTACTTAAAATTAAGTAAATTTTAAAAACCGCAACATTACAAAAACCAATATTGGAAAAAACAAACAAACATGAAATTCACAGGAATATCACTGCTAGGTCAAATATTTAATCTCAGAACACTGGAAGTGCATATGACCGTATCAATGAAAAACATCAAACAATGGCAACATTACAAAAAAAAAAAAAAAAAAGGACCATGAAATTTGCAGCAATAACACTGCCACAGTAAGTCAAAGATGTGAGAAACACTTCATAGACCTTGCTGCTCAAAGGGACAGTTCACCCAAAAATGAAAATTTCATCATTCACTCAGCCTCAAGTAGTTCTACGCCTGTATGAGTTTCTTTCTTCTGCTGAACACAAAAGAAGATATTCTGAAGAATGTGGGTAACAACAGAGGTACTTTTGTGCTTCTACAACGGCTTCCTGTCGTCCATCTCTGCCAGATCTTTGAGGTCCATATGAAAAGAATTCTCCCTCATGGGTAGTTTCTCCAGTGTTGTCAGATGGAGCAAGAACTTCAATATGATGATGTAACTGTGAAAGCTCATCGATTAGCTTTGCTTGTAGAGGATCCCTTTCACTTTCTGGTAACCACCAGTGTCTGAACTGTGAAGCTGTCGTTGTGGCTAATTTTGCATCAACACTCTCAAACAGCTGCTTGAAGCGCGATTCAACTGCCTTGACAGTTGTGTCAATGATATCAGAGAAAAACTGTATTCGACATCTTCTGGAGCTTTCTTTTCAGTGTTAACGATGTGAGTTATCACAATGCCAAGGTAACACTTTTGTTCTCCCTGCAAAAGGTCAAGTGCAGTAGCCACGGATTTCAAAACATCAACATATTCTTTGAGATCATTTACTTCGTGGGACATCAAATGTGGGACATTTAAGAACTCTTATCAATTCTGTGCACTGGGAATCAGTGAGTGACTATCTTTTGAACAGCTGAATATTCGGAGTTCCACCGAGTCACACAAGAAGTTTCATGTTTGCAATGGACTCGACTGCATCAACAGTGACAGTTGAGTGATGGGCCCTACGCATTTCTTGTGGGAGAGTTTCTAGAATTATGGACAGCTGCTTGGGTCGGTCTAGTCGTACTCAAGCAATTTCGCCGTTACGTCTCCTTCCCCGTGTGTTAATAGATGAGACCAGTTATATTTGTCAATCAATGCCACAAATACAGTCTTAAAAAAGTACAGTGCATTCATGTACATGTCTGAAGTGAAGAACAAAACCAATTTACAAAGCTAAAACTAACTTTACCACACAAAATAAATCGGTTTGACGTAGGCCTATGTGTGTATTAAATTATGAAAATGAGTTTGATGAACCAAAGAAGTGGCGACAGTTATGACACACAAACCAGCAATTTCAAATAATAATTATGCATTTGTCAAGAGTTGATTAGATATGTAATGTTAAGTTGAGAAAAAGCAGCTTACCTGCAAAAGCTTCTTTAGATTCGACGTGGAATCTGATGCAGTGGACAGCAAATTAATCTTTGGAAGGCAGAGTTTACGTTGAACCATAATGTTTTTCCCATGTCTTTCTTTAAAAATGAAATGATGTCTGTACATCCTGTGGTCAAACGCTGAGTGCCGCTTCATTTTCCATCATGCCTTGCTGCTGATTTCTGTCCGTGATTCCACACCCCCTCCCCCTCTCTGCCAAAAAAACTCGAAGCATCACGAACGTATATAAGTGGCAGGTTTATTATGAAAAATATAAAAGTTAAAAAAGAAAAAAAATGAGAATCAATAAATTGTGAACAACATATACTGCCATTGTGTGAATAATATGTACGCATGTAATCCATGAAAAAGTAACTGCAATCTGATTACAAGTATTTTAAAACAAGTAATTACAAGTACTTGAATCTGATTACATAATCCAGATTACATATAATCCGTTACTACCCAGCTTTGTTGACCATCCATAGCAATGGATGTTTCAGTTTTCAGATCTTGTGACCCTGGGGCAGAGAAAGTTCCTTCACTGATGGGGACACTCATGGGCAGGGGTTGAAACACAATCTCCCTGAGAAAGCTGTAATTTGCCCACTATACCATAACAGCAGATATGGTCTTAAAGGTGCAATCGTTGATTGTCTTCAGAAACATTTTTTGTTATGCTGGTTGAACTCTTGGTGCATGAAAAGTTCACAGTCATACCATCTGACAACGTGACAAGCTAATAAGCTTTCTAATATCAAATAAAATCAATATGCACAAGTAAAATTTGAGCTGCTTATAAGATCTAAATGGAGACTATTCCCACCAGACCCCAGAGCTAAAGAACAGCCCAGCTGTGAGTTTCAGGATAATAGGCCTCCTTGCATCCTTTTGCCCAGTTCCTTAGGAACATCAGCCACAACATGCGTGTGGTTACCATGTCCACACAGCCTGGAGGGAGTTAAGTTCCTCTAGACACACATTAATCAGCTGGATTCTTCAACCTGGATCCTTTAGAGATGTTGACCTGAATTCCAGTCCGTGGAGAGACAGGTTTCCATGCTCTCAGAACATACTACTCTAAGCCCAGGGGTATAGGGTAAATGGTTTACATTTACACAGTAGATTTTTAAATTTCTTAAAGATGGTATGAGTTGCAATGACATTTTAGTGCCATTTTAAAA